CAATCAGCATTGGAAATCTGGCTCTAATATTTGTAGCTGTGTTATCTCGGGAAGTTTATTTACCTGCTCCTCAGTCTCTTTATCTGTAAAATTGCACATTAATACCTACCCCATGAATACCATAGGGTGACTGCAGGATTGCAGAGACTACTTGGTAAAGTGAGTGCTTACAAACTGTTGGCTCTCATAATAAGAAAGACTAGAGGATCCTTGCATCAGCAGTGTTAGCTTCCAGATTGGAGTGCCTGTTGCACACTGTAAGCTAGAGGCTAATGTGGGTGTGAGCTTCTCCATCCTCTGACTGCTGGTAAGAACTAAGTGGCAGAGGATGATGCCTGCTGATCCCCCACAGAGGCCACCATGTAGGTGACAAGGGCACAGGCAGTCCTGCCTTCTGCAAACATGTATAGGTAAGGCTGCCGTTCAGGTGTTTAGTAGTCAGGGAGCTTTGGTGAGATTTCCTTGGAATAACTTCCGGAGTCCTGGTTCTTCAAACAATGATTTACAGGTAGAAGAGAGAACTCTGTATTTTAGGAATGGGAACAATAATAGTTTTGCCAACTAACTGAGCACCAGATTCCAAACTGAAAAACTAAGTCTGGAAAATAAAAACAGGAAAAGATGAAAAGCCATTTCCCAATTAGAATAAACAATTAAAGCATCATTTTCAAAGTTTTACGCCAAGCATCTTCATACTGTCACTGTTAACTCATCTCCTCAGATTGGACAAGTAGTATGTGTAGACTGACTACATAGCAAAAGGTACAGGGCAAATGACAACTGGTGTCCAGCACGTACTCTCAACGGTCACTTCAGGAACATGACGTGAGCACTGACTAGACAGAGAAAATGTGTCCATTCCTCGTGTAACTGATCTAAAAGCTTGTTAGCTTCGTCTTGCCCCAGGTTTTCAAGCTGACTACACACTGAAATGACCTGTGAAAGCTTTGTGCCCACATTTCAACCCTCGATCCTCTGATTTAATATGGGTATTAGCATGGTCACTCTTGAGACCCACTGGTCTATATCACTCCTGATGACAAGAAGAAGCTAGTTTTAAGTACTTGCCCGAAATTCTGATTTAAAATTCAGATATAAGATAATCACCAAGTACCTTTAAGACTTTTCTCCTGCAGATAGTACAATTTTTGTAATTTCCCCCTTGGGGATTAAGAAAAAAAGAATGTATACACACACACACATCACATGCACACACACAATGAAGATTCTAGTGTCTGCTCACCAGTATGACACTTGGGCTCTGCTTGTGTGTTAGTGATTAACTTGCACAATCTATAGTCACCAAAAATCTATCAAACTATATATTTTTAAAATATATTTTTGACTTACTCTCTAATCTCAATTCCACAACTTTCTTCCTATAGCAAAACGAAGTCAATTGTTTAGCTTGTGTTTAGATTTGCATGTAACTTTTGCTACGTGAACTGAGTACAATTAAACCTCTAGTATATTAAAGCTTTGATAAATTAGGTTGCACAAACTGGCTGTTTAAAAATCATCTTTTTATTTTTCAGTCAAGACCCACGTAGGGAAGAGTTGTCCAAATTTCTTAATGATTGGCTCTTGCTAATGGCATTCCTCCTAAGCAGTTAGAAGAATCAAGGCTGGTAGAAGTTTACAATCAACCAAGTCCAACTCCTTACCACAGAATGGGTCATCCTTTATTATGTAACAGAAATCACTGTCAATTCTTAAAGATAATTAGTGGAAAAGGCATTCTAAATTTCCAAATAGCCAGCATTAGCTTTTAGAAACTATTAAAATCAGGAATATGTCTGATTTAATTTACCCCTACTAGTCATTAATTAGTCATTGTATATATGTGCATGGAGGGGATCCATATTATGTCTTCATCACGCTGAGGTTGTATGTATCATGTTGAGGTTGTATGTATTATGAGGTTATTGTATGTATGAGGTTTGTATGTATTATTAATTTTGTGATCTTGCTATTATAATCAATGCTTTAGTCTGTTAAGCAACTTTATGCCATTTTTATGGTTTTAAAGCCAAAAGAAAAGAGGTGATATGCATAATTTAGGAAAATTCTTATTTGTATCATTTATGCAAAATAATTGTTGACAAATATAAAATACTTCCACAAACACGTTATGTAGACATCAAAAGAGCCTGAAAAAAAAATCACTGGAGTAGTTATGAAAATGTTTTTAAGGGCCAGGGATTTAGCTCAGTGGCACAAGTGCCTGCCTGGCAAGCATGAAGTTGTGAGTTTGATTCCTGGTACCAAAAAAAAAAAAAAAAAAAAAGAAAATGTTTTTACTCTGTAAGTCTCTGAGGGTCACGTCACCAAAATCAATGGTATGGACTCGTGAGTGTGTTGGCATTTGCCCCATCCCATTGGCAGTAGATGCTTAACATTTTCAATCTGGGAGTTCTATAGAGAATGAGACACAGGTCAATGTACATAAACTGCTGCATTATGATGTGGTCTTCTTATTCCCTATACACACTTCGATAGACTTGTGACAGTTTCCTACTACACCAACATCATTACTGCTAATTAATTAATGCTAAGAAAATTAACATACTGCCCTTTAAAATATGTTACATTGCATGATAATGGACTTTGAAGTTTAGTTTAAGCCCCTAAAGACCTGGAGCTCTTTGGGAAAAGAAGATGCCAAGTTCTGTAAGATTTTCTGCAAGTTTGACCAAGTTCTGTAGAATTCCTAGAGGCTCACGGTACAAACATACAATAGACTGACGGCCCCATTATATCGTAGTTTGTACAATTTAATTGTGTAATGAAATATTTCCATGTTAAAACAGAATGTACAAATGAATCTTTCATTCAATGTCCAAATGAATGGGTGTAAACTGAAACAGAAACTTCAAAGTAATATAGTTTTAAAGGCAATTTTAAAGATATTTTTTACACAGCTAAATTGAAACAGAAATAGTATCAGTTTTATTATTTCTTAACTACTAAATTTTCCAGTATTATAAGACTTTTCTATATGTAATTTTAATATATATATTTTTAAACCAATATTTTTGCATAATATTTGCAAACTATATATTGTTTCCTCAAATATTTAAATATATAATTTAAAGCAAATTGGCAATATGCATTATGATACATATTCTTCAACTCAGTAATGTTCTCTCTATGAATAAATATTAAAGAAATCATCTACCAACTGACTTAATTAAATGTACAAGGACAATAAATGACGTTACTTACTGGAGTCATTCTGAATGTCTCATAATAAGGGAACAGAACATCCAAAATGCTTAAAAAATAAAATTTTTGAGAAAGTTTCTAAATCTGGGGAAAGTCTGTAAGACATATGGTTAAGTGAAAAAAGAAGGCTAAAAGAATATATATATATATATATATATATATGTGTGTGATTTGATTTTAATTTTATTTCAAAGTTGATTAGAAAAACAGCTAAAAATGTTCCTTGTCTGTTTTCACATTTATTAGCATGGATTTGTGTCATCTATGCAGTTAGAAAAAATTCATTTAATTTCGATGTGGAAACCAGGGAAACATATATCAAAATATTAAAGGCGGTTTTGTTTAACCAGTGAGATCACAGAGGATGATTGAAAGCTTCTTTCCCCATTTTCTTTTTAAGGGCAGCACATTTAACTTCCATGGGCAGGACCAACACACTACTCAAGAGTCAAGTATTTCCTTCCCGCTGTGTCTTTCTCTCTGCTAGTCGGTAGTTCTGGGAGGAGTTATCAGGGCTCCTTACATTACTGATGTATAAAACACTAAAGCTTCACTTTAATTATCTGCTGTGAACTTTAATGAAAAGTTTTATGGGGAGAAAAATGAAATCACTGAGTTAAAAAGGCTTTTCCCGTGAGCCATGTCTCGGTGCCGGGGTCTTTTTTCACAAAAAGGTTTGCTTCTCTTATGGAGCATGTCTTGGAACCATCAAGCTGGATGACCTTGACTACCTGGCAACCTTCTATTCGAACCCACTCATTCTGATTTTTTTAATCTGGTAAGTACTGAACACATATCAGGAATATAACTCTTTTTTACTTGTTTCTTTCGGTTAAGTTGGTCTTACCTTTAAGTAGCATCATAGAGTAAGGAGTTCCTTTTTACACAAGTAGAAGAATGCCAGTCTTTCTTGTTGTTTTGTCCAGTTAATAAATGAAAAGGATAACCTGATCTCCCCAAGTTGTATTATTATTTTTTTTCATTCTACTATAGGCAGGCACAAGCTTAATTTTAGAATGCTAAGACTTGCTTTATCCTCTCCTATTGCTAATTCATACTGTGTTACTCAGGTGAAACAAACTTGGCAGTAGCTTTATTTGCATACACAAATTATGCAACCTGAGAATTCAAATTAGAGAAGTGAAAAGAAGCCAATAGGCATGCTTATATATTACACAGATGATGCAGTATAGATAAAAATATCTGACTTACCTGTAAAAACATGGTACAAGGAAGTCATAGTCTAAGAAGCATTTTTTTATGACACAGACACAAAAATAGAAGATTGATTTGTGATTAACAATTCAGTCTTTGTATTTAATACCATTAATCCAATTTTTTTTTTTTTTTTTTTTTTTTTTGGTACCGGGATCCAACTGGGACCTTGCACTTGCCAGGCAGGTGTTTATGCTGCTGAGCTAAATCCCAGGTCCCTGTTTCTAACAGCAAATACTGATATACAGTCTTAAGTGTTATGCCTATTAAAGAACATTTACACAAATATTTTATAAAACTAAAAATTATTTCAAATGTAAAAATTACATAAGAAAAGCATGTCAAAATATTCTGATTACACTGCTCAATAGTCAGTAAGTAACATAAAAATTCGGTGCCACTGCCTCATTAAATTGCTATCGTTACTTTCCCTTCTGTTGCTTCTATATTTTCTCCATAATTATTCTTTCTTTTATTATAAAGAAATATCTTCATTGAGGAAGATAACACTAAAAATCAACATAGCCAAAGCAAAGAGAAATAAAATTTAAAAAGCCAACCTTTATTCCACTTTGAACAAGTTTGTGAATGTCCAAATAAGGCTCCTTGAATATTTCTCTTTCTGGGGTGAGTATCTTCACGTAGCCTTCCTTTTCCAGGATAAACAGCCGGTGTGAGCCGTCCCCACTGTGCATGGCCCCAACAGGCTGCCGTAACCCGCTCACAACCTCCTGGACACAGAAGCAGTTGTGTTTGTGTTTTCTAAATAAATTCAAGAAAGTCAGTCAGGTTTTTTGTTTTGTTTTGTTTTGTTTTTGAGATAAAAGGGGGAAAAGATGTCCTCATTATCCATTTCAAAAAGTATTTCCCCTGGAATCAATGACTTTAAAAAATCAAGAAGTATTGCTAACCCAAGCATCATAATGTGAGTCTTTTAAGTGATTCATTTAAACTCTTTTCAATGGAAAAAAATAAAACAGCCTTCTGTCATAAAGTAAAAGTGAGAACCCAAACATGTATATGTTTTAAATTTTTATAAGCTCATTATCTCATCTTTTAGTAACTGTAATTAAAACTAGCTTTTACTCACAATAGTGAAACCCTACAAGAAGGCAGTCAGAGAAAGTTCTAAGATCTATTTATAAAAAGGTTTGCTTTTCTCATGGAGCATGTCTTGCTTGATTTGCCAATAACAATTGTGTAGAGTATTTCCACAGCACCATAAGCTAACAACAATCGTAAAACTCAAGTTTAAAACTATACCCATAAAATTCAGATGAGTCATAGGGAAACCAAGCTCATAACACAGAATTAGTAGTCTAAGTATTCAAAACATTTAAGCTACAATGGTAGAGAAGCAAACTACCAAAAAGAAAAATATTAAAGTATCTAGAGGACATAGTTTCTGAGGATAATAAACACAGACAGTGGAGTCACAGGAAAAACCACAAGATTTGTCATTTTTTAATATATAGAGTATTTATCTGTACGGACCTGTTGATCTCTTCCACTTTGTCATATTCTTCCATCTGGTCCAGGGAGTTAGATGCTGGTCCTCTGATTTGTTTTCTTGGAAAATCTGGAAAGCACAACCCACCATCTTTTCTTGCGTAGTAAGAGCAAAACTCATCAGCAGTTGTTTGAAGAAAACCTTTTTAAAAGGTAAAAACATTCTTTAGAAGCATTTAGTGTCCCAGAAAAATCATCTCATTCAAAAGATATAGGCAAAGAGAATCTTTTAAGAATTATGTTAATCTTCTAGGAAAAAAAAAAAAACTAGGCTAGCATAAAAAGAAACTGTAAAAAAATGTATGCACAGGAAGTTGGAATCCCTATTGTTTTCTTTCAAAAATTTAAAATGGCAGTAAAAGTCAGATAACCTTGTGCTGAATATTTTAAAGGCTCATAAGGAATACCTATACCACAAACCCAGCATTAACCTTGATCATGCATTTCCTGTTTTCAAGCTTCCTCAGTGGACATATATTATACTATGAGCTTATCTTATCACTAATTAGCGGTTTTTGCTACAGTACTAAATCCTGAAAAGAATAAATTTCACTCAAGAAAGATGACAGGCAATCAGATGCCAGTTTGGATGATTTCACGAGACTTACTTTCACTCTACCAACTTTCATATTATTAAATAATAAATCTAATGGATATTGCCATGATAAATGACAGACTCACTGTGAAATATTCAAGCAATGAATTGATCCTAATAACAAAGCCTCTAGTCTCATATACATAGGTGCCTTTTACTTATAGTGATACTAATGATTTTGTAATACAAAAATTATGTTTAAATTATACTACCTCTCTTTAAACAACAAAGTTTGCACAATACCCAGCCAAAACAAAAATACAAAATAGACTGACTGACTTAATGGGATATAAAAGAAAGATTTTTAAAAATTATATATCGGGGCTGGGGATTTAGTTCAGCAGCATAAGCTCCTGCCTTGCAAGCAGGTGGTCGTGAGTTTGATCTCCGGTACCGATAAAAAAAAAATTATATATGAAGAACTTTCATCAAATAGACATAGTTATCTTTAAACACAAAAGACTTCATAACAAAAACACTTTTGATGTTACTCTTACAATTATGGTTATAAGATATTGACCTTTTATGCACTGCAATAATATTTTGATGACTTCTGATCTCAATATATGATGCTACCAGAGGTCTAAACTACTGGACTACTTCTGGTGCCACACCTTTATTACATTTACAATTTTGGTTTTTCTCTACCAAACTAGATTACTATTCCCTCTATTAATTTTGTGATAAAGGCATTATCTGAAATTTAGAAGCTGTGTAGCAAATTCAGCCTTAGCAATATTTCTGAGAACCAGATTTTGGTGTCAGCCATATAAGCCTTATCAATGATGAAAGATGCTAGGTTTATTTTCTGTGAGCTTGACCTATGTCTCTTCAAAACTAGAATCAACCTTAGGATGTGAAGGTCTCAGAGCTTGATGTACATTTTGCTCTAACTGTTGGAGTAGTGTGATCTCATTAAATTGCTGAGAAGGACTCCTCCAGAGCAATCTCCAGCGAGGCTATTAGGAAAGATATTGCCTTTGGGGAACAGGAAGGAAGAGCAGACCTGCTTGGGAGGATGTGCAACCTACGTAGAGGTCAAAAGACAAGGAGCGTGGTGGGTGAAAGGGTGCTCCAGGAGGGACAAGCCACTGAAGAATTATCTGTCTCTGGGAAAATCCAACCATCAGGAACTGGGACGAGGAACGAAGATGACCACAGCATTTATTCCTCTTCAGCAATGCGCTGCTGGCAAAAGAGGCGAGGTGCTCAATAACTGCCTAATACGGTTAACCTGAGGGGAACTCTGAACTGCTGAATCCAACTTTTTGCAAAGTTTTGGCATAGGTCTTATTTTGGGGTTAAACACACATGCTTTTGCATGCACCCCATCTTTGAAGCATTTACCATTGGGCAGTGAGATATTCATGCCAGTATTAGGCTTGCAGGAAGACTGTCATGCTATGGATATATTTATAACTGAATGCGTCAGTGAAGAATGTTGTTTTAATGGGATGTTTGTCTACAGGGTCACAGAAAGATGTCAAAATGCAAATCATAAGAAAATTCAAGTTTGGTTTAAAGAGCAAAGAAAAAGAAAACCATCTGTAATAATCCAGTGTTATGGTCTGCAGACCAATGACCATCTTAAAGGGAAACAAAAACAAATGCTGGTGGCTGGTCCCATTTCATAAGGACTTACTAGCTGGAATAAACACAAGGAAATGAGAAATCATTTTCAAATGGAGTATCTGAAGATTAATGAGTGTCTATTCTTAAACTTTGTGGCTCCAGGGGCACTATGCTCTTGGCAAATGAAAAAATAATACAGCCTGTTAACAACGCATTTCTCCTACCTCCTAACAAAAATTAGGCAAAGTGAGGAAGAGTGAAGGAAGGAGCCAGCTCATGGAGAATCTTACAGAAAAACGTGAGCCTTTCTAGCCATGATACATGAATTGAAGTATCTAATACTTTACACTTTCTCTTAAATGATCTCATTTTGCTGTAGAACACGATGAGTAAGGCACACTTTGTGGTAAAGAGCAAAAAGGACTTGGATCCAAGGCACTGGACTAATTAATGTTTACTGCGAGGGAAGACGTAATTTACTCAAAGGTGTTCTTTTTTTTTAAGACTACACTGAACCTCAATTCACTGAAAATGCATGCTTAGCCTATCCTGGTCAGTTCTAGTACTGATGGACATACACTTCAGCAGATTTTTAAAACACCTGATAATTTATCAAGTATCCTGGGCTAGTACCCATTCCCTCAGATTATGAATTCAGTCCTTTTATAGCACAGAATGCCCAATAAAATGACATACAAAACAATACTCCCTGTGGAGTACTCTGAGTTCTAGCTTTTTTCCCTCAGCATGTATTCAAGGGAAATTATTTTTCTTCACTATATGTGCATTCATCATGATAAGAAAAACAAAAAGAGCTCCTGATTCTCTGGCAGGAAAGACTACACTAAAGAGCACTCTCCAGTAGACATACATTTTCTTGTGTCCGTCAAACCCCTCTGTTTTTCTCTCCTTGGTACTAATAAGACACATGTGTAAGGTATCTGATGGAGCTATGAGCAGCTGTGGACTGGAAAACTCAATGGATTCAAACCCTTGACCTTGGCCTCATTAGCAAAAGGATTAAACCAATTGTACTAATTGTGTGCAGACCTTTCACACTACAATAACCCACTGCTGAGGAGACGACTGTCAAGGGTGATAAAAGTCAGTATGATAACAGGTATAAAGAGAGAAGTCAAATGTCCATCCATATGCCCTCCACAGTGTATCATGCCATCTTTTAGTGAAGAGTAAACGATCACTCCACTCATTCATGCAGAAAAGATTTGCAGAGTTGAGTGAACACTCCCCGTGTTTTTTAAATATAATGTTGGTATTTGGAGAAATTTTAAGAATTGACCACCCTGAGAAAGGTTGCACTGGAGATTACTATGATTAATAAAGCTGCTTACGTTGCTTTTTAATTTCTTTTCCCTTATTTAGGAAAATAAACTGACCATGACTATTTGTGAATTAAAATTTCTAGAAATGAGCTATCTTTGAAGTTATATAAATAGTTTTAAATGGTCATGCTTTCTTTAAGTCATGTAGGTGAAGCAAAATAGTTTATATATTTATTTCTTCATTGTTAGGCAATAAAAGAGAAATAAAGATGTCTCTGAATTTACTTTCTCTTCTCCAATCTTTTAGTATTTTCCTTATTTTAGCAAAATGCATTCTGTAGGGTACCTTCATCCTAAAGTTTTTGATTTGTAGACAGAGTAAGGCTTTTTAATGAGGAGGGCTAGGCTATGTTTACTAGGATTTTCTATACAGAAGAACCCCAAAGTAGCTGTTTTCCACAATTCTGAACTTTAGTGCAATGTGAACCATATCATTAAATACATGGAAGAGGGTAAAATGACTATAAATTTGCTTTTGTAGCCATTTTTTAAAATTCATGTTGAGAAAACTAGACGTTTCTGTGTTAGGCAGCAGAACTGAAGACAGGGTTCTCATCTTACTCATCTCACTTTAAGAAATGGTAACCTATGTGCCAGCCATCAGTCTGACTAAGAGATGAATTAAGGGTAAGTGAGGCGACTGTTACCACAGCTCGCTTTGGGGGACAGGTATTTAAAATGATTATTAGCATGTGGCATAGGAAAGAGCAGCCCCCTCTGCTCCTTGTTTAGGTCTTCCAGACTCTCTGGAAAGTACCCTTACTGCTCTATCCACCAAGAGTGGGGCTTTCATCTGGTTATCTTTCAAAGCAGCCTGGGTGGCCACCAAAAGCACTTGACATCTTGATGCACTTCAGCAGTTTTACATATACACAAACTTTGTAGAAAAATAAATTTGTCATTCGTCACCACAAATGTTGATCTGGGGAGTGAGGTGTGTGCAGTTTTTGGACGCTAAAATAACTTTAAATATAGAAAGACTCCCACAGATGAGTCTGCAGATTGAACATGTTGTATTTATCTAAAGAAGATAAAGGAAAATGAAAATGCTAAGTGTTGATATCACTTTCAACTTATGGTCCTAGCGGCAAATCTTCAAGATTTGGTCTGCAGCAATCCTGTACGGGTTTTAATCTGTTAACACCTCTCAGCAGGCCATCCAGGCAACTGTGACCTATTCCACTTTGCTTCAGGGAATGCGACAAAGAGGAAGAAACAGCTGGCTTAAGAAAAGTCTTAGCAACATGGTTGGAGTTTATAAAGACAATATCATTATTTTTACATTAAATGGATACCAGTTATTCTATACCCAAAGGGAACTGGCAAACCTAGTCACGTATTTCTTTGGGTTATTAAAAGTTCTATTAAAGAATACAAAACTCTTTTCCAGGTTGGCAAAGAGGGAAAATGTGTGTAGCAGTTTAAAAAATTATGTAAGCATACCCCACAGTTCTTTAAGCATATCTTTTTCCATATATACCATTTCATTTTATAAACTCTTCCCTTCAGTAGAATTGTATGACTTTGCCTAGCTAAATTCTTTCATTCTTCTGGTTGACTCTTCCAAAGAAGCCAACAAGCGCCCAAGTTTACAAATGTTTGATGGTAAATTTAATCAATTCCCAAGAACCTAATGTCTTTTAAAGTCTGAAATATGACTGTGACCAGTGTATTTGTAAGACTGTGTACCCTAAGAACTTCTTCTGTGTCTATCCCACTGCATTCTCATTTTATAGTTTTGAATAAGGCAGATGACTTCTCCTGAGACTCAGTTTCTCTCATGTGTCCAATACAGAGAACTCTACCATAGGTACTTTACAGGGTTTTGGAGAAGCGAATCAGTCATTTTATGGGGAAGAGCTTTATAAAATGTTACTTTTTGGAAGTCCTGGTTATATTTTATTGAAGGGACTATCGTAACTATCAGTAAACATTCTCCATTCATGTACAGCTATGTAGAATAGGCTACGCTCCCAGGTAAAGAGAACTCCAACAAGGGTTAGTACTATAGCTCAATGGTAGAAGCAGGTGCAAAGGCCTAGGTTCCATCCCCAGCACACTTAAAAAGTTTGCACTGATAACCTGATGTGTATAAAAGTTACCACCTGTTTTGTACACTGAAATTATAGCATTTCTTTTCTCAGCAAGAAAACTTATGACTTTGGAAAAGCTAATCATGAAATAACAAGGATTTTGAAAGGTAAGGTACATTTTACATCTCTTGTAAACAAGCATTTAAAAACAGGTATCTTATGAGGATATTTATTTAACTGAATGCATTTTCTTTTGTTACCTGGAATGTGGCTCCGGCAGGTATAAAAGAATTCTTTGCAATAGTCTTTGCAGAGGAGGGGAAGTACTAGATCTCTCTCCAGGACTTCTCGCTCAGGTGAGTGGAAAAGGCTCTGAGAATGTGGAGAGCAAAACGCACATTTGATTTCCTCCAATAACTTCTCACATTCTGTGTTGTTGGTGACAGAAAATATCTGAAAGCCATAAGTCAGAAACAAACCTTTTTTATTGATGTGAAATTTGATGTGTTTGTGCTTTTATTGTTTGTAATCATTTAAGTACCTTAGTCTAAATCAGGCAAGGAAGTTTTCTGAAAATATTTACAGTGTCACCATACAGAGTGCCTTTAAAAGGATGCGAGTTGTCTCTGGGGCTAGAAGAGGGCCACAAAAGTCAGGAAGGCGTTTAACCTGCTTGTTACTTTTTTTTTTTTTTTTTAATCAGCACCAGAGATCAAACTCAAGACCGCCTGCTTGCAAGGCAGGTGCATATGCCGCTGAGCTAAATCCCCAGCCCCCATCTGCTTGTTACTCTTGCACATCAGTCTAGGAATGTTTTTCCGGTGTGAAAAATTAAAAAGACAATTATACTTAGAGTGTGTAATTCTCTATCATTTCATTCTGATTCAAAGTATGTACAGAAGGACATTTCGTTTTTAAAAATTTCTAATACCTTTATCCAACCGCATGCAAAACACAATTTTAAAGACATGGCTTATCTGTGTCTTAGGTGAAAGTGTACTTCATTCTTAGGATTCCTGATATGACAGTCTCAAAAGTGTACCTGCATAGCACTTTTTAAAATCTCTGCTAATTTTCAATCTATAGGGGGTGAGGGAAGGTTTTCTAAACTGTCTTTGATATTCTATAAAAATACTCTAAACTGAATCAAACAGATTTAAGACCAGTCTTTATTACTCATTACATCTTAGCCAGGGAAAATTTTCTAACTAGTTTCTTAGCTATGTTATGTATATTACTAAACACAGGGTTTAATAAAAATGGTTTTGTATAATCATGAATTTTAATGAAAAAAACATGCTTTTATTATATTTATAATGATACATCTTTTCTTTGCGTAAGATCGATTTATGACTTACTGATTCATTGATAGAATAGGTGTTGGTATCTGGAATAATTTTAACAATTGACTTAAGGAACTCTTAATAAATATAGAAGTCAGTATCAACAGAATATCTGGGGCATGAAATGTGCTATATAAATCAAACACTCACTTTTTTATATTAAAAATACCACAATGTGAATGAATTATTATTTCCCAATTATCTGACTATATCTCTACTTAATTCATATTTCTTTTGAACTATATGCTAAAACAAACATTTTAAACTGTTATCATTGTTTAAAGCAAATATTTCATTCACAAGTTGAGTGCCCAACTTTAGTAAATCATATCTTCTAGTTTTCAAGATGATTACACAAAAACTGGCTCTGGAGGAACAAAGTAACAACAGCAACAAAACATTGAATAAAAAAGCATGCTAAAATGTAGGCATTCAGGACTTCAGTCAATAGGAGTTACGGTACTTCAGGAAAAAATGATGTTTCTTAAGTGGTTACTATACAGTATTTAGTCAAATTACTAATTATGATTAATTTACAATTTATTTTTATCAACTTATTCAAATGACAACTGCTTAAATGGTTAAAGTTTTCTAAAAGGAAACATACACCAGACACTTAGAATTTGCATTCCAAGAATGTTTTAAATGTCTTTTATTGTCCATAGGCTGGCAGACCTCACCAGGTTTATTCAGTAATACTAGTGCTCAACTTGGTCCTGTTTATCATGCAGCAGTCCACTGAACACAAAACAATTGCAAGATGTTAAAGCCACCTCTTTTGAGAGCTAAAAAACTGGATTGTAATTCCCGCTGGTTTTATGGAGAATATGCATGCTTCCATTTTTTATAGCTGAGAGAAAATGATCCCTATACACTCTCCCAGCTGCTCTCCAGGAAGAGCTTGATTTTTAGTGCCTCAAGAATTTTGTCTTTTACAATTTTTGGAATGTGTCCTGGCCACAAGATCTCTCATCAAAAGTTTCACAAATAGGATTCAATAAATTATCTGAAATCAAGTATAATATTATTCTTTTTAAAGTTTCATGCTGTTCCGGCCCAGCAGGATGGTAACATTTTACTCTGTGTGAGGTCTGCAGTGTAAATACCTATTTGAAGATAGATAGAGCCATCATTCTGGCTTTGGTTTCAATGAACCAATAGTCTTACTGAAGTCAATTAAACCGACTCAGCCAAAGCTGCAACACTGGTTTAGACAGATAAGTACTGGTGTGTGCTGGGTGACTTTTTTTTTTTTTTCTTTTCTTCTTTTTTCTTGTTTTTTGTCTCTCTGTATTCACATGGGTCCTTAACTTTATGTCTGACAATGCCATCAATCTTAAGAAGAAATTTAAGCTAATTTCCTGTTTTGATTTTTAAAAACCATTTATACAAAACCATCAAATTACAGTGGTCTAAACTATGTATACTTTGGAAATCATGTAAAACTTCGAAACATTATTACAGCATGCCTAGTAATGACTGTGGCTGTTGCTGACTAATTTGTAACATCTGGTAGGTCATCCTTTAATCTCTGGCCACATGAAAGTGAAATCCATAGAAGAAAGTTCAGATAAATACTGGAGTCCAGAGTAAAGTGTGGCCTACAACTATAGCTTATCAACAAACAGTAAAATGGGTGACAGAGACCTTCTGTATTTCTCTTTATTTATCAAGTAACTAAACAAAGAGGGTAGAAAGGCATCCACGTGGGTTTGATGAAGGGACAAAAGAAGAAACTACATGACAGTATATTAAGATGTCACCTTAAGATCACTTAGTACACAAAATGTTGTTGCTAAAAATCATATGCCTACAAGGTTGTTCAGCTGTTGGGGAGAACACATGTGTCTCTGGACTATAGAGCTGGATTATGTCATTAAAGAGTTCAGTTTCAATTTTAGGCTAATATGTAAATAGATCATTGTACTAAGGCAGCTGTTAAAGGGACCCCAGGATGAGTTATTTGTTTAGTTGGATATGTTCAACAATAGCCTTTGTCCCTGAAAGAGCCAGAGCAAACAAATGATTGTAAAAGGGCACACTTGAAAACAATTACTTTTCACCCATTCCTTGACAGCTTTGGCTGTGAAACCACCCAAGGTAGAGAGAACTTCTATGCCACTGTGGCTTCAAGTTTTAAAAATAAGGGTATTTTAGTTGATTGTGGATTCAGTTTGGCTAATGGGCTTAGATCTTTTGGGCATGCTGTTTTTAGGAGCTGCAAAAAATACTGCTAAGACAATATTTTTTGCTTCCAAAATTTTGGCAGTTCTGATTTAGAATGGTAGCTAACAGTCTTATTATAATATATATTATTAAAATGTATGAAGAATTAAAATATTATAATATTTAATATTATAATAATTATGTGGCACCCAATGCTAGCTTATTAAAGAAAATTTATTGGTCTGGAAACTGGATTCAAATGTAAAGCTGCACATTCTCAGTATTCTGACCTATTTGTTGCTATTTGTCTAAGAAATTTCTTCCCTTAGGAAAGAGCTGCTACCTTAGTTTGTGGAAAAGCTGTGGAAATCTTTCTTGGGCACATTTTTAAAAATTCATAAACAAAAAAAGGGCCCTGTCAAATTGTCATCCTCTCTCCTATGGGTACATCATGAAATAAGACTCTGACCTGTATTATAATGCAGGAAGGCTTACAGAAAAAAGGCTTACAAGAAAAAAGGAAACATTGAAGTTTGTTATAAAATAACATATTTTAAACACTATTAAAATTTGAGAAGTAACATAGGTCAAGAATCTGTCTACATGGCTATCTCAAATTGCTTTTTTGAACAATTTTTGAGTATTGTTGCTTTCTAAACCAGTTGCAATGGAACCGGCAAAGTCTAGTGTGCCCAACTTAATTCTGACACATTTTCCAAATGAGTAGGGATGGTCAGAAATTGGAAGCACTTACATCAGAAAGGAATGTGGATAGCTAATGTGCCTGGTTGTTTCCTGAGTAATGATTCCTTTTTAAAAGATTTTTTAATATAGCTTCTCTTAAGAGTGATAACTCCCCTCTTAGGGATTATAAGTCCCACCCTGTTCTCCCTTTTGCCATATATATTTAGTTAAGAACTATGTTTTCTTCCCACATGTTCCTGGAAGAACAGTATAGCTAGATCATCCCTATAATTCTAGCATTCAGAGCACACAGGGCATGCATTTCTAAACCTTTCTCAATATCCTGGTTCTTTGGGCTCCTGGTAAAACCTTTAAGATGATCTGAATGTGGCTGAATGCAACTTAATTCAATTACAACACTGGCGCTTAATGACATTGTTTTGAATAAAATGCTGGAATATCTGTTCCCTGAATCTCAGACTCCGGCTGCATATGGTAAGAATAAAGAGTGAGTTGCAGCTGAAAACCTGCAGCAAGACAGTTCTCACTCATCTGGGAGTTGGACAAATGCTCCCTCAAAAGGCATGAACATTTGGACAGAGCTGGGGACTGAAAGAGAATGATGTTCTCTAGTTTCACCCATTAGTGAACCAACTAACAAATACAATGGTGTTGTTGTTATTCTTTTGCCATAAGCAACAGGACTCTGTGTGTGGGCAGCAGTTTACTGGGGAGGAGGATAAGTCGACCCCTTTTTGTCCTATTGATTTTTTCCTATTTGCATGACTTGAGCAAATTAAATGATGCAATATGGCTTTTTGTTACAAAACAAAGTGAGAGATACCACCCAGACACATATGTTGATTCGTAGGAGCTGTTTACATGAGAATAGAGTGAAATCTACCGTGAACTGAGCATAAAAATTAGATTCAGCCTGGGTATTTTTTTTTTTTTTTAATGCCTGGGCCAGCAAGACTGAAGCACAAGTTTTCCAAGAGTCTCTCAGACCTTGACAACTGCAGTGTTGTAACAGAGGAATTCTTAATTAAACCTAAAACAAGGAAAGGGAGGGGGAGCTAGGACACCTGACTGTTTATTTCATGTGCAGTGATTGTTAATGACGTGACCCAGCAGTCTTTCCTCGGACTAAGGTAGACAGCACATATTACTGCATCTCATGGCAAGAATGATACTGCAAACTTAATCAGGTCTCTGCACTGAACCAACGCTATTTACTTATCTAGTTAAATTTATCAACACAAGGGAAACGTAAATGCCATGGCTCTGTAAACAAATTCCTAGAGAAAATCTGCCTAGACAGCTCTACCCCTGAAAGGCTTAATTTACAATGTTACAAAAGGACGGAGAATCATCTTGGTTTTAGGTGATAAACACGTTCCAGCAAAATCCCCGGGGCAGCAATTCGGGAATCTTCACTGTAGGTACCAAGAGTTGCTTTTTAGCTCATGTAAGTATTGTAATTCAAGACACCCCCTTCCTACGGGGCTGGGGGACGTAAACCGAGCATGCTTCAGCATCCTTTCCGAGTCAGCCCTCTGCACAGAGCACGTGGAGAAAACGGCACACATCTTTTTACCCCTAGACAAATAAACCGGAAACCACAGCCACCTTCATTTACAGTTTCACCGCAGCCCAAGCCCAATTTGGTCCCCAAACACACACAGTGGATCGACTTTCTTTTTAAGGTGTTAACCCAGCCCGGGGTGCGGGTACCACAGCGGAGGCGCCCCTTCTCTGAGACAGGCGAGTTTGCACAGCATCCCGACCGCGGACTCTGGGGGACCGGAGAGCCTTCTGCGCACCCAGAGCAAATCACTACGGAATTGCGTTAGCGCTTTAAAAAGTTAACAGAAGGGTTCCCCCAGGAAGTTGCACCCTTCTTCCAAACCCCAGAGCCCCAGCGACCCCCACTCAGCCAGAGTGCCAAGTTTGCATCCGAGAAGCCGGCAGTGCCTACCTTGTTCTCCAGGCGCCCCAGCCCCGGGCTGTCACCTCGCAGGCAGCAGGACAGCCGAGGGTAGAAGCCACCACACAGCACCTCTCCTCCACTCAGCAGCTCCAGCTGGGACATCATCCTCCTGTCTCTCCTTTTCAGGCGTTTTGGGGGGTTCCCATTGAGGCACCTTCTCCTCCTCAAGCCGCTCCCCTCGCTCCTTTCCCCAAGCTTAGCATCTCCTTCAAAGAAGCCCAGGGCCACAGCCAGCAGCAGCAGCTTAAAGGACAGCATCTTCAGCATCGTCTGCCGCGAGCAGCGGGGGGCCGCGGGAGGCTGGGGAACCCACTGCCCACAGGGCCACTCGGGCGCGGCTCCCGGGGGAGGCTGCCGGGCGCTGGGACACTCGCGAGCCGGAGGGAGGTGGCAGGGGCGAAAATAGGTAGAGCGATGCAACTTTGCAAAAAAAGGAATAATAAATAAATAAAAGACGAGGCGATGGGTCCAGCGCCTTGGAGGAGCCCCAGCAGCCAGATAAAGTTGTGCAGATGACACCGCCTGCAGTCGTGCCAGTGTCAGTTGGGTTAGGGGCTTTCCGCTGCGCCTGGGAAGTGGGAGGAGGAGAACGACTTGGGAGAGGAGAAGAAAGAAGAGGAAACGTTCGCAGAGGTTCACTTGTCCGCGTGACGGGCGCTGTTTAGGTGAGACAGTAGCAGGCGCAGCGCCGGCGGCGGGGCAGGCGGAGGCCGGGAGGGCGCGGGGCTCTGGAGGATGCTGAGGTCTCCTCTGCCGGCGGCTGCAGCTTCTCACACAGCCTCTCATGTTTCGCTCCCTCTTTTCTTCTTCTTTTTAACTAGCGCGCGGGGAGGTGCTGCCACCGCGCGCCCCTTGACGTCACCGCTGCCCGTGCGTCCGGCTGCGGGCGGAGGCGAGGGCGGGAGGGGCCGACCGCGCGCCCCGCGGCACCGGCTGCTGCGGGTTGGGCGGGGAGGGGACCGCGGGGCCGCGGGGACCACGGGGACGGGGGGCGCCGAGGGCCCCCGGAGCCTCCCAGAGCCGGCCTCGAGGGCGCGTCCCCGAAGTTCCGGGGCTCCCTGGCGGCGGTCGCCTCCGGCTAGGTGCCCTGCGCGCAGTCTCTGCGCGCTGCCCGGGCTGAGGCTGCGAGAGAAAGGAGGAGGGGGCTGTAGGCGGTGAGGAAAAGGTGGGGGGCTGCTAGGGCTCCCCTCTGGTCAGGGGAGTGAGTGGACCAGAGAGAGCATTTCGGCCTTTTCCCCTCTCCAGGTCCTTGGTGAACCTCGAGGTCTGATTTAGAGGTGTAGTGAGTGAGGGATTTGGAGACTTTGGAGAAGGGCCACCCACTCTGGCGGAAAACCCCGCAGCTACTGAAGTGGCAGAGTCGCGTGTGGGTGGCGTCGGGTGGGGAGGGGTTCGGGGAGGAGGTTGAGTCTTCTGCTGGAGGTGTTAAGTGGGCTTGGGCAGGTTGATACCAGGGCCCCTGAGAGGGCCTTCTGTGCCTGCATTCAAGGCCAGCCCCATACATGCCAGTAGGTGAGCTAAGGTTCCAGTGCCCTAAGTGGACAGAAGGAAGCAGGCTGGGAATCAGCTTTCCTTCTGAAACACACACACACATACACACACACACACACACACACACTCCCTGGTTGTTAATACAGAGGTGTTAGTTCTGGAGGAAGAATTAGTTGCAGGTGTGTCCAGAAAGGCTGTGCTCCGTGTATACAAGTATATGAACCCCAGCTAGACAAAGACTGAAGTGTTTCTAAAAGGATGTCCACGTTACCAGGAGCTGTGTTTTGATGTTTATTGCGTCCCTAAAAGTTGGCACAGGGACAGACCTCCATGGGATTGCACACAGAATGTGCTTTTTCCCATTTGGGTATTTAGCAGGAGAGCTGTTTTCCCGGTGGATGGGTTCTGATGAGAAGATAAGGCAGCTTCCCATTTTGGCAGTGGAGGAATGTTCACCATATTTGGATTTGCTTCACTTCTTGGACACAGATTCGCAAAGCTCATGTAAAAGTTGCTGATGGTTCAGGTGGGCAGCTGATTAAATAACTTTACAGTGGTCCCAGTGGCTAAATAAGCCTTCGGGGCTGGGATTTATTGATGGAGCTAGGATTTTACCAAAAGTGAACAGATTAGAGTAACTAACGGAGAGGACCCGGCTGGAATGTTTGACTCAATCCTGAGCTAAAGGTAAGACCCTAAAGTCGCACTTCCCCTTTCTCCCAGGGCTGTGACGCAGTACTTGCATGTGACTATAAATCTCCGTAGACTGTTTTTTCTGACATTTTTCCTGCTTGGAGGACTTTTAATATAAACCGCTATAGAGACTTTTAAGACTTTAGACACATTTAATAGACCTTGAGATGAACCCCCTCAGGGTTAAATCATTTGCATAATTTCATTCCTTAGGTAGTTTAAAAACTAGGACCCAGGAGCCCAATCTAGAGTGGTTTCCACTATTGAAAATTTTATTTATTTATACCGGGGATTGAACTGAGGACCTTGTACTTGCTAGGCAGGCACTTATACCACTGAGCTATATATCCCTGGCCCTCAGAACTTTAAAGATCCTTCTAAAATCTTATTTCAGGGGCTTCACTTCCGTGCCACATGATGAATTCATGTTAGTGGTTTAGGGCAGCCCTTCCTTATGGGTGTATTTCAAGACCAAGAACATTTAAATTAAAATTGGCTTTTAAAACATTGTATGTCTGTTACAACGTATAACACAAAGATTCAAGCTATAGAGCATTTATAAAAGATTACTGAAACCAAACATGGTCTTTCTGTTTTTTCCCCTCTGTCTGAGGATGAAATCTGTGATCTTCATACTAAATTACATGCCCAGTCCCTTTTATATTTTTTTTATTTTTGAGACATGGTCTCACTGAATTACAGTGATGCCCAGGTTGGGCTCAGGCTTTCAATCCTCCTGCTTCAGCCTCCCAAAGAACTGGGAGACATGGGAGCTAGAATTTTTCCTAAGTTCATAGAAGTTAAATAACTGCACCACTTACAAGATAGCTAAACTTATTCTTAGTGCCACTGCTAAAATTTCCAGATAGTTATTAAGAAGAATTACACAAGTGAATAACTTCTGATTTGCTTTTTTATTTTTTATTTTTTGCCAGACGGAAAATTGCAAACCTCACCCACAGCCTGGACAACATCGTTTCTTGGAGTCAGGAATCAACACCGGGTTATTTCCAAACATTAAATCTTAAAAGCCCACTGGGAGGTTGCAGCCAGAGGGCAGAGATGTCCACACACTTGGATATGAAAAATGGTCTTCCTTTTCAGCTATTGCTCCAGAAGTATGGAGGAGAAAGAATCCCTTTCTGAGCAAGTTTATTGGGATGAATGAAATAGGTTCCTTTTCTGCAGAAAATGGAGTTACATTTTCTCCAGATCATCTTCTGATCACGTTGCCCTGCCAGGGTTTTCACTTGTATGTGGGTCCAGCCCAGTTCAGGGCATCTACAGGACGAGCTGAAATGCTCCCCGGGCTTAACTCACCAAGCAGTGTGCACTGGGCATCACCATGGCCACCCAGAGGATGTGGCTTCTTCTGATCTGCAACCAGGCACCTTGTGTGGGCCATTGCCAGAAGTGACTGTCCCACCCCTTTCCCCAATGCTGTCCAGAGTTATTGTCCTGACTTTGGGTGAATTAACAATTCTCATGAGCTAATTATGTTTAATATAAAAGATGAAATATTTTATCTAAATTTTAAATAGTTTTATGGATGAAAATCAAAATATCACCATTTATGCTATTTATCTATATATAGATGGGATATACATTTCTATGTATCAGAAGTTAGGACAACTTTTAAAAAAATTAAGTCAGGATAATTTAAATTTGGTAAGTGTTAAAAACTATTTTAGGGTTTGGAATTAGTTTTATATATGGATTGGATTTCTGGGCTCCACAGAAATATGTACTATTTAATTGCATTTCAACAGATAGCTAGGAAGTGCCAGTTATTGTACTATATATCCAGTAAAGAAAAATGATATTCCTTGCCTCTACCTGGTTAATGATCTAGTAGGCAGGCAAATGATAAGCTCACAAATACAGGAACAGCTGTAAATTTTGATAAGAACTGAGAGAATTGCTAAGATGGAGACTATCAGAACCTATTTCAGTTTATGTAACTGGAAGTAATCTCAAGTAAAACCAGAAGAGTAAGTTGGAAGGAGTTTATTAAATGAGTCCACTCTGCCATTTAAAGCAGAAAAGCATTTGAGTTCGGAATAGAACTGGATAGGTTTAAGAGAATGTATAAAATAAAGCAGATAATAAAAAAGGCTTGTGGCCAAATGCATAGTGTTTTAATTTGTGAACTCCAAGTATCCAATGAAATTACACCTGTGCCTTTGTCATTTGCCTTTGCAAGTGTCCTTTCATTTCTCTCTTGTCCTCATCCATCTTTGTCCTTTCTTTAAATCCCAGCGCCATGCTCAGTCTTTCTACGAATCCTTCCAGATTCCATTTCTTTCCTATGTTGGGCATTCGTGGTTTCTATCATTGTCCTAAGATCCTTTTATTTATTTATTTTATCTGTTTTAGAGTCACTAAGCATGTTTTCTATTGTGGTTACCATCTTCGTAGTTATCTGAGAAATTATTTCTCATTTCATTTTTTCCTAGAACCTCATTTCTTTGCTTTGTTGTTACCACTTTAGAGTGGCCGGGTGGGTGGCTTTCGGGTTGTCCCACCTCATTGCCTCTGGGTTTTTTTTTTTGGTGAACTGGATGTTCTTGTCTTCTTATTTTTTTTTGTAGTTTAATTCTTGGGGTGATGCTTGTAATTGCTTATGGGGAGGTGCTTTATTGCCAGTGTTTAGACCTCTTAGGAAATGACTACTTTTCTGAGGTGTCTTTCAGGTGTAGCTGGATTTTGGTTTTGAGTCTGGTGCTAGGTTCTCTGCCTTCAATTTGTTGGGGATGAGATGCTGCTGCCTACTTGGGCTGACCCCTGGTTCTTTGGCACTGATACATTGTATTTTCTGTGACCCTTAGGTATTATTAGGCTTTGGATACCAGGAAGAATAGCTGGTTAGAACCACTGTGTCACTTTGGCTAAAGTGGTACGATCACCAAGAACAACAGCATCAAACACAGTCTAGAAAATGACAAATGGAGGTAACCATTAATTTGCCCATTTGAAGCAGATGAACTAGATTTGTGGTTATATAGAAAATCTAAAACAGAAAATTGTGTGCAGTAAATTAGCCCTCAACATGACAATTTTACCCTCAGGAGAAATCTTAAAGGGATTAGGGGAAGAATATGAGAAATAGAAGAAAAGGAAGAGATTAGAAGCAAGGCTGGAAGACAAACAGGGAAACCACTCAAACTTTGGGAAATTGGTGCAGAAGACAGGAGGGAAAAAGACAAGAAAGGAATAAAAGGAAGAACAAAACAACAACCACAAAGAAAATAGGAATCTTGTTCACACAAACAAAAACAAGATCAAACAATGGAGGAAAAAACCCCAAGATGAGAGTCTGCCATCACTGGTGGACAGTGTTGGAGACAAAAGCCGATCCTTGGCGATTTATCCTGGCAAGCCAGCAGTAGCTTTACGGTGGAGTAGTGAGTGAGGCTGGGACCAGACCCCGTCAGCCTGCAGCTGCCAGTGCACTTTCTGGGAGCTTGAGCTTAGCTGGGAGCCGCTAGGTGGGGCTAGCAGTTGTTTGGAGGTCCAAGCTCAGCTGGCCCCTCTCCAAGGTGACTCCCAGCCAATAGCTCTCCTGCTCAGGATGATCAAGCCCTCAGCACTCAACCCCAGGATGACCAAGCCCTCAACCTCAGTGTAGTCCTT